GGTGAAATTCCATAATATCTTATGGAATTGAGGCAAAGGAGGATATTTTTGAAGAAAAAGATCAAACTACCTCAACTATGAAGGATGCTATTATAATATCAAAAGAATCAATCTCAATAGCAAAATAATAATATTGTGAGCTACATGTCTTAGATTAAAAAAAAACATGATATGTAGCTTGGAACTAACTAGCTCTAGAATTTATTTTTGGCCCATATACTCCATAATACAATACAAGAATATAACAAGAATATCATTTATTTGATGTATATGTAGTTGGAACATAAAAATCACAATTAGAGGATCTTAATTCTTTGGAATGGAGAATTTAAAGCTACGTTAGTAACTTTTACAATTAAAATATACTAAAAAAACTAATTATTTGATTAAGATATAAGCAACTATTAAATTAGTCAAGTAAATAATTTTTTTAGTATGTATAGAATAAGTAGTGAAATGTATTGGAAGTCAATCCTACTTAGTAATTATAAGGAAAAATATAAAATTTTGTAATACTACAAAAGAAATAACAAAGATCAATGATATTTACTATATGCTAGATTTGAGTCACAATTTACTTTTGGTAGGATAATTTTTTGATTAAAATTACTATATATTCATTGATGATGAATAATACTTAGTTGTCATTGAAAATAAAACAATCAAAATTATTGCAAAAAAATAAATAAATAAATATCTTACACAAACTTACAAATCTATTTAGGACTTCAAATGTACTAAGTATGAACTTTGTATAAGCCACTGTAGTGTCAATAGAGTCAAGTCAAAAGAAAAAAAAATAATCAAACTTTGGCATTATAGATTAAATTACTTGAATTATCAAAATCTTATCTACTTCTGCTATAAAAATAGGGCTATTAGAATCTTATATCTAATACTAATAATAAATATTTATAAAATATGCTAGATAGAAAAATTAAAATGAGACATATATGAAAAGAAGAATCAATTCAAAACAAAAAACCTTATACCTTAATTTATTCAAACTTGTAAGGTCCATTTGATCTTTTGTTAATAAGATCAAAATATATATATATATATATATATATATATATATATATATATTAATTCTAATTGATAATTTTTTAAGGTATACTATTATGTTCTACTTCAAGAAAAAGCCATAAATATTTTAAAAAGTAAAAAAAAATATTGTGCTTATAAAGATACAATTTAAAACAAAGGTCAAAAGACTCAAAATAGAAAAGAGAAGAGAATACAAATTAAAGTTTTTAAAAAAGTATTATAAAGATAAAAATAGTCGTTAAAAAACTTGTGGCTAATTTTATTCCATGTCAAAAAAAAAGCTTAGAACAAAAGAACCAAATCTTTTTTGAAAAGGCTAAGGATATGGTACATATTTCTGAAATTTTAGATAAGCAGTGGACTAAAGTAGTCAAAATTATAGTCCAATTAATCAATATATTGCTAATTAAGGAAAATAAAGATTTTATACTATATGAAGATCTATTTAGAATCAAGTTAAGCTTAGAGAGACTTAGAGTATTTGGTTATAAGATGTATACACATATTAAAAGACATAAGAATAAACTCTAATCTAAGGCTAAAAAATGTGTATTTATTGCATATGTTGGTACAATCTAAATATACAAATGCTTTAATCTAAGAACAAAGGAAATGATTTTGTCATGCAATATCTAATTTGATAAAAATAATAGTTTTGAAGGATCAAAAAATGAATTATCAAAATGAATCATATATTATCATTACTTATATTTAGAAAAATTTGAATAAAATAAGTTGTTGGCTTATATTCAAGAACCAATTATAATAATGGACATGGATTCAAAGACAAGAATTAACATGTTAGAAATGGGAGAATGAGTAAGATTAGTATACTTATAAACTAAGTATATTCATTTTTTAGGAGGAGATATCTTTGTGACACAAAGAAGATACATAAGAAAGATTTGAGAAGAATTTAATAGTCTAGATGATAATGCTTAGTAAAAAAGATCTAAAATACCTACACAAGGTAATAAAAAGAAAAGAATTAATAGATCCTACATATTATAGATGCTTTATAGAAAATTTAAGATACATTAGAAGAATAAATAAATTAAATTTAGAATATTCTATATGTATAATAAGGAGGTTTCTAGCAAGACCACAAGTCTAATATTTATGTGCTTCCATGAAGACTATTAAATACCAAAGAAAAATGTAAAAATTTAGAATATAATACAAATAAGAAAATAATAATAAGATATTAGGAATAATAGATTTTGACTATGAGTTGCATCTTGATAAAAGAAAATCTACTACTAAATATGTTTTTATATTGAAAAATAGACTAGTTGTATAGAAGTTCAAAAAACAAAGATATGTAATAAGATTGTCAACTAAATTGGAATATATGGCACTATCTAATAAAGCAACAAAAAGCTCATAATTAATGAGGTTATTATAAGATCTAGGAACAAAACAAAAAGAACCAATAATGATTATATATGAAAACACTAGTGTAATTAAGATGAAAAAAATAAAATATTCTATAATAAGATAAAGTACATTAAATAATAAATATTATTGAATTATATTTTTATTAAAGAATAAATAGATAATATTAACTATTAGCTTATGGTTTTCTAGCTTAATTCATAATGAGGACTTTCGTCACCTATAAAATAAAAGTGGCAATAGTCAAATTTATCTCAAGTTGCCATTGTGTTGACAAAAAAATTACTTCTTGTAACAACTTCTATAGAATTATCATTCTAGCTTTCGTAGTTATCATTCCAAGTAAGGCATTCTTCCTTGATATTTGAAAGTTGTTAATACAAGGACATGAGTTCCACAAAAGATAGAGATTTGAAATCAAATGTTGTTTTAGAATAAGAAAGAAATAAATAGAGAGAGTGGTTTGACAACTAAGTAATATTGTGCACTCGCTCTATAGGAGTTTGATAACTATATCTTGATCCTTTATAATTAAGGCTTATAACTCTAACAAAATAACTTTTGATAGTTGAATTGATTCAATGACACCAAGCTTGATTAATCTATTAGAACGCACAAAGTTGCTACAAATTAAGATTTTTAACAAGAGATTTGAAATATAAGTTAATTGAAGTAAATATATGTAGAAAGAAAGAAACAACTATTATAAAATTATGAAAGAAAGGTAAGACAAGACCATCAAAAAGAAGAAGACTAATTGTATATAAGGAAAAATCATCTTTAAGGACATCAATGAAGCATAGAGACTTAGAAGAATTTTTAATGAGCCATGGAGAAAAAAATCACAATTTTCATAAAAAACAATGTCTAGAAAATCCTTGGCAAAACTTTTGACTATGTCTAAAACATCATCCACTTATGGTTTTACAATCAAAGTGCTCAACAATTGCTTTATCTTAGATTGAGGGATTAAAACCTTAACACTAGCCTTTGAATCTTCAACTCTATTGATCTACTTAATTGGAATCTCCATAGGAGCTTACATTGGAAGGCAATTCGTGAGCTGTAAGAAGCAATAACAAAGAGCAGCAAACAAGGACAAAAGAGAAAGAAAAGAAAAGATCATTGTGCACCTTCAAGACAAAACAAGATTACTCTGGTCTAAGATTAGGGGAGGGTATTAGTACTTCTACATCAGCTTATATCAGTAGCCTATAATTATAGTTATATGGATATTATGTATTACAGTTAGACATTCTAAATATAGGGTACTAAGACTTAGTTGTTCCAAAGGGAGATACCCTTAATGGCTTGGTATCTGGTTTTTTAGTCATCTTAATGTAAGATACTTAAAGATGTAGGTCATGACAAATACAAGTAGATCATGTAGGACAACTGTGGCAAAGTTGTAGGAATCAAAAAAAACATTGTAACAACGTCCTATGAGAACTAGTACCGAACAACAAAAGAAGAAGCAAAAAAATAGAGCTCCTGAAGCTCAACCTTGAACCACATGAAAAAGGAAAAATGGAAACAAGATCACATTGACTACTACCTGTAGTTGACTGTGCCGCAGCACAAACAATACTAAGAGTTAAAAAAATCCGGAAGAGAGATCTAATAGCTCAGCATCTATATAGATAAAACAGGGACCAACCTTGACAAAACTCCGTTCAAGAAGAAGAAGAAAAAATATATATATATATGCTAAAAAAACAAACTAACAAAACCAAACTTTAGATTTGTAGACGACAACCGCAGCTCCACTACAACATGATCAATGAGCAGAGCCAACCAAAACAGCAACCAAAATTGTAGAGGGACCAAACAAAAATGTAACAAGATCACGCCAAAGACTACTAGGAGATGGTGGCGCAACAACAATTCTAACAACACAAGAGAATTCTGCGATACTGTCGTGAAACACCAAAGAGGAAATAAATAAATAAATAAATAAATAAATAATCACCAAGAACCACAAACTGATAAACCACACTCCTCAGCTCTCTCCTATGAGGATTCCGGAATAGCATAGTTGCAACCGTTATCCTCAGGGGATTTGGCTCCACATCTTGGTTTGATACAACATCATGCACACCCTTACTAGCAATAACCAATAACTCACCATCACTAATAATGGACTCTTTTTGAATTTCTGGTCCAGCAACAAAATATTTTTTCATCACCCTGACACCAAATGACCAAGACATGGCAAGAACACCACCGTAGAATCACCAACATTGGCAGCAGTGAACAGTTTCCCACCAAAATAACCCTGGAGATAGTTGACCCTACAGAGTGATCTAGCAAATTCTTAAAAACTTAATGATTCACATAATTAATTGCTCAAGAGCCATCATGACCATCAAAACGTCAAATAATCCAACCGGCGCACCGTCAACTTGTGATCTCTAAGCATCTTTAAAATCCTCTCTATTGAAGTTCTTTTTCCATGCAATCTTAAAGAGTCATAGATAATTTTTTATTTTTACTTCATTGTCTTCTAAATATTCTAATCTCAAACACGAATATAAATAAATACGTAACAACACTACTCAAAAGTTTAAAGCTTCCACTTTAGCCAATTACAATTGAGGAGCAAGCAATCAGGATTGTCTGTGAATTTTTTTCGCACACATCAGACTTCCTAAATGCATTTGATTAGTGGTGCGATGATATAATCTACTTACGCCACATCCATGACCAGACATGCTGATGCCACATACACCGTTTCTTCGGTAATATCAACTGCCAGTCACTACTCTGTAGTTATCAATAAACCTTCACTAAAAAATTAGACCCCTTAAATGTGGTACATCCCTCGAAAATCAGAAGGGCAAAGCTCGATAATGTTTGGATGATTCTGGGTTGATTGACTTCTGAATAACGTGCTCATAGATAAGTATCCCACCACTATGAAGCGTTGTCTAATTTTGTAATTTCATGACTAAGCATTTGTGAGGTCTTATGAAGAAGAGTACTTCCAGCGAGTTTTGAGTTCGGTGAGATTAGAGGTTGCAAATGATTCCCTTACAAGATTCTTCAAATTTATTGTGGTCGCAGAACAGCATTAGATTTAACGCCAAGAAGTATGACAATCCGATAGACTTCACGTAATTGGCAACGTCTAATTCTTCAGATGATATCTTTAGTGGCACTGGAGACAAACCGTCAAGAACCGCTGAAAATAGCGCCGGTGGTAGAGAAGGATCTTCGAAGCTCTCCATGAGTAGGTCATTGTAATCATTGGCATCAATTGTGCCGAAAGCTTCCGACAAATAATCAACGTCATCTTCGCAATTGACTTCCTTAGATGCAATTAGACCCAGGTCGCTAGTAATGGACAAAAGTTTCTCTCGCAGAGCTTGGGGATTGTTGATGAACGGCTCAACAAGGTCGATTGGCCATGTGGCAAAGATTTCAAGGACATCTGTGGCGATACTGATCTTTGACACTTCACGGAAAGCAGTGACCAGTGGCTGCACAATCTGCAGGTCGATAGACATTGTTCAATCACTCCGTTGATTACAAAAAATACTCAGGACCACCACTGTCCAGCGTTGTAATAATTAAATTCAATAATCGTAGATCTAAACGCAATTAGAGTCCACAAATTGTTCAGGTCAGAAAATTTACTTCAAGACATTCATCAAAGCTCAAGTCACGCCCTCTGATCTGCCTCCTCGTATACTCATTTATCCAGTATGCTGACTTAGGCGACACTCGCTGCAGGGGCTTATCATGCTGAGCATGTCGTGTACAACTAGAGTCGCTTCCTGTGATGTGAGTGCCAGGATTCGATACAGCTGCAAAATCGAAACCCGTACCATAGTCCGTTGTCGATTGCTCAGCTGTATCAATTTCAATCGGAATGCCTAACAAGATCGCAATGAATATACTCCATTGATCGATCTGCTCCTGTAATACCATTTCCTGCATTGGATTCATGTCTTCAATCTGAACAGAGGCGGACCAGTTCCAATGAGCGCCTGCAGCATCATGTAATTCCACTTTTCGAAGGATTGACACCAAATATCTTGCACTGGAGCTCTCCCCTGATTCTGGCATACTGTTCGAGCATCTGGATATAATATTCGAGAGAAGGTGACGAGACATTTTTGCCTAGTTGTGTCCACTATGTAAAAGTGATCCCCGTTAAACAGCTCAAGCAAAAAACTCGTGAGCACGACGGACGAACATGAATGTGAACTGAATCAAAGGAAAGAAAAACAGAAAGAAAAAAACAGGGGAACATCTCACAGCAACAGGTCGCAGGACACAAAAGTTGTGATCAAGACAGCCTCCCAGTGTGAAGAGAACCAACTGGAGTGATCAAAACCGAAGTTATTTAAGCGGCATTCTCCCGCCTTCGAAATGGATGAGAATGTAAGTTTTTATTCATCCATAAATTTAGGGCCTGTTTATTTCAGAGGACATGCACCGATTGAAAAGGTTTTATTTCCAAAATTCATCTTGAAATTAAAAAGTCTCTTGTGAAGTTGAAAATTATGAGACTTGTAACGTAAATCCATCCCTTTCTCATGTACGTCCATAGGATGACTGAGAATTAACCTCATTAAACAACATATATCAAATGCATCAAATTATTCGATATGTGTTATGTGTATTTAGCACATATCTTACTGTTAGTTTTAACAAAAATTATTATTATTATTATTATTATATTTTTCATTATAGGTTTTTAAATATTTTTAAAGATTATGCCAATATTTTATTAGCAGTAATAACTTTTTATTTTATAAAAGTATGAATTCTACACAATATATACTCAATTTACTAGTAATATATGTATTCAACCATGCTCAACATTCATTGATCTTGTTAAAGTACATTCAGAGAATGCTAGTTTCATATTATTTACCTTGTACTTTATGTTATTTGACTTTCAGGCTCAAAGTTAAGATCTTATAAAAAATAATTAAAAAATTTAGCATAATATAAATCTTATTCAAGCTAACATCTATATCTATTATTCATCCTTAGAAACAATTTAATTATAATAAAATCAATTTATCTTTAATACTTTAATGTTCAATATGCATTATTGTTAGCTTATAAATTGATACAAGTGAATTTTGGTTTTAGCTACTTTTACCAAATAATTTATCATTAACTTTATAATTACTTTATAATACTTTGTATTAAATTTTAAGAGAAAAGATTGTAAGTTTCAAATTCTATGAAAAAAAGACATGAAAGCTCAAGAAATCTACATAAGATTCCATGTAATTAGTCTTTTATTAATATGGATAAATAATTCAAATTCAAATTCTACATAATTTCTTTGAAATTCACTTATAAAGTAACTATTTACAATAGAGTTGATATTATAAAGGGAAAAAAATGAAAAATTTGCAATTCTATGGAATGTAAACAAATATAGATTTGTATATGGAAACATTGAAAAAAAGTACATAAAAAATAGCAGTTTTGTATATTTGTAGTTTTTATTGTATACCATTGAATGTGATAGATTACAAAATCAATTAAAATACATGTTTTCTTGTTAATTGAGGCTACAAGCACATCCAATGTTGATATATGCACACCCAACAAACATGGAGGCTTGTAATTGGTTGGATGTTATAATGTAGCCCTTGCCACCTGATACAAGTGTAGGAGGTGAGGGGAGGCAGCAATCTCTCTTTTGGTAGTCGAGTCGACCAGTCAGGAGGCATGGTCAAGGGCAGCAGCTTTTGCAAGGGCCTTAGAAGGCCACTACTATTGATGATAAATTCTTGTGGTTATAATGCTATAGCTCATGAAACCATGAAATTATGAATGCTAATCAAGGCATTCATTTATTTTAAGGAGGTGTAGATGAATTTGTTTGATAGATTTGTGCAAAAGAATTGCAATTGATTAGCTGGTTACTTGTATCTAAATGCAAGGCACCACATTGACATGGTGCATATGCTTTGAGAAGTTGCATTATTGGTTGCATTATGGATCTCGCTTCATAGAAAGCTCCACAAACCATGTTGTAGCTATGGATCTCATCAAAGGTGTGCCTTGTGTGTAATTTTCTTGACATGAGTTTTAACACAACGATGCTATAGGTGTAATTCTTGTTGCAACCAATGGCCATTTGGTTTTGGTTGTGGTTCTCAGAGACATAGCTTGGTGAGTCTCTAATTAGAAGCACTGAGTCAAGATGTTCTCCAATTTCATCCAAGTTTGGTAAATTGCAGTCTATTTAAGTGTGATCCAAACTAAGAATCTATTATCATGCTGATGGATCTCACATTGTGGTAGATAATATTGCAGATGCAACTATGATGAAGGAAAGCAAAGGCTCAGATTGAGTCAAATACAATCTGATGTCAAATCCACCATCTCAAATCTTTGGAAACAATGAACTTCTTAGTAAGGTCTGCTAATATCTCTTACTCGCTGATTGATCAATTGGACCATAGAAAAAAGGGCCACCGTCTCCCCTCATCTCTACACTTATATCAGGTGGCAAAGTCCATATTATAATATTCAACCAATCACAAGCCTCCATGTTTTATAGGTGTGCATATAGCAACATTAGATATACTTGTAGTAAATTAGGATATACTTATAACCTTAATCTTTCTTATTTCTAAGTGTATATACTTAAATAAGTAAAAATGTTCATAAGTTCTTTAATCGCCTAATATTTGTAATTGTTTCTAAATTATAAATATCTAGCTTTTTTTTTACACCATTTTGATTCATAATATCCCTCTAAAGAAACACAACACTAATGCTCTCCATGTTGGTAAACTCATCAAATTCAATCAAATTTTCAAGACCTATATGCAGAAAAGTGAATTCAAGTTCATGTGTTCCAAAAATTTCTGGATGACTTCTGCATTTACAAATCACTGGGTTATACCCAAGGGAAGACACATTCTTGTCGGATACATTCTGCATTTATAAGATGACATGCTCTCTTCAATAAACTCCAAATCTGACAGGAATCGTCCTCAAATTCGCAAGAAATCCACTCTAGTAATTAGGATGGAACTCTAGTGTGAAATTGTCGAAGTTTCTCCATCGTGCTCGGGTTGCAAGAGTGAGGAAGGACTCACACTGAACTCTGTTGATAGTTAAAGAAAGCCCAAGAATACCTGCTCGTTCCACTCGACTGTGTCAAGAAGCTGCTCAAGAATATTTTGCGGAAGGAGACGATAGAAGGCTTCTGTAACGTAATTTACGGGTAGTGTTGAGTATAAGCTCAATACAAAAAGAAATGTAGTTCTCCTAACAACTTCCAGAACAAATACCAGGATTGTAGAGGAGATAATTTCGCAGTGTCAAGGATGACCATGACCTAGACAATTCACAAGTCCTGCTCAAGATGGCTTTGAGGAAGCGTGGTTCCAGCTCTAAATATAAGCTGATTGATCCCCAACATGTGTTCACCCACATATGGAAAGGTACGAGCACCAAGATGATACTTTACTCAGTATGATTCTCGACAAAGATAGTCAAACATTATACATTACTGTACACAAAGTAGGCCTCTAACAATAAACCCATTGCCGTCATTATTGAAATTGATAAGTGGCAAAGCTATGGCCTGCACGCCCTTCGTTTGTTGCCTTAAGTTCGAGCTTTTGATAAGGGCTGCATAAAACATTACCAAGTACTACGTTAAGAAGATCATAATTATATGCAGCGTATCTGCAGCGAAAAGAACAAATCGGTCAATATTCAACAGATCGAATGGCATCCAGACACATGAGAAATGCGACCAAAGATAACCAGGAGGTGAAGTCTCCTAAAACAATATGGACAAGACTGTGTAGCTACTGTGAGAGGGAACCTCCACCTGCTGTTTGGATCGTAGTAAAAGCCATTCACAGAACCATCACTGCGGGAGAAACAGACGTAGTAGAAGCCTGCTATGGTCAATCCACAGTCGGTGCCCACATTCACAAAAAACTTCTCCTTCCATCGCTGCAGTCAAAATGGCCAAATATAAGCTCACTTCCGACATACAACGCTGTCGCACAATACTCCGAGCCATACACGACCATAGGGAAGCGAGTCCAAAAACCAATTCATGAATACATTATTTTCTAATTTCAAATGTCTCTTTACCATGAAAATGTACGGGTGATTCACAAGATCAATTGACTTTCCACCATCTTTCTGAACTTCCTCCTGCACGGCATGAAAAAACATAAATAAGCGTCAAGATGCATGTATTAAATATGTTTTTTGCAATTTAAGAACCCTCTAAGGTACACATGGATGCAGATAACACTCTTACATGTACCACAAGTTGCATGTAAATAACACACTTCTGACTGAACTTACTCTAAGCTCAAGGAAAGATGCAAACTTGGACCAATGTTTCACATCTGTCTCCTTCCTGTATTTCAAACCTCGCGATTAGAAGGACGAGCAACATCTGTAAGCAATGCACTCGGATACATGGGCACGTTAAATCCCAAAACATTGCTTGCCACAGGATGACCATAACTCAGTAGATAACAAGTATCTCATTTATAATTAATACAACATTATTTCTACAAAACTAGGCGTGCAAAAGTAGAAGCCTGCTATGGTCAATCCACAGTCGGTAATGCACTCACGTAGCATCCCATTGGCCCGTGTAGAAAGAGTAGTTTCTATTGTCCACGATTTCCCCCTCCCAAAAGGTTACTACCTGCAGTCATGAGCTATTGATTTAGACCCAGGTTAACTTTGCTCATTCGTTGGAAAACAAATACAGCTCATTCATACACAGGTACACGAAGTCCTCGGTGGCAATAACCTAAAATATAGACTCGGAAAATGGACAGCACCACCCGAAATTTTCCTCACTGAAACATCAGTATCGTTACAGAGGTTTCAGGACAGGCACATGAAGTTACCGGAGTCTCAGCAGCCGGTACATTCAAAGCCTCCATACTGCCACATAAGTAGCCACTTTGCATGTCTACTCCTTGCAAGCGCACGTTAACTTTCCAAGCTTCATCCTTTTGCATATTTGACACATTCTGTGTCCCTGCAAATGCCTAAATAGACGAAACAACCAAAAACAATCACTGTGATTAATTTTGAATCATTACCACGACATTCTCGTGTGTCGCCGACCTCGACCTCCTCAGTATCACGCTACCAAACAGATTCTAGTGTCAGATAATTGAAGGTGAATCAAAACTTAGAAAGCAATATGTACTGTTCACAAGAGTCGTGGACTGACCTGACCCACGTTAAGGAAGGTGCAAGGCGGGGGCAACGTGTGGCCTGGCATTGCATCCCTGCGGAACCATTAGACTTCCCGTCAATATCTCTACCTAGAAAAAACTACTTATCCACAGTATGTACACGATACCACAGGAAAACAAAATATTCAGTTCATGAGCACTAATCTCAAATTTCTCCCAAGTGTGATCGGACTCTAAATCTAAGACCAGAAACACTGTCACACGTACACTAAAGCTGTGCTGAAGACGTCGATAGTTTCACTAACTAAGACGAGAGGACAGCGCGCACAGCGCTCACTCGCAAACCACACACAAAACATCGACGCTCTCGAAAACCCTAACTTTACAGACGCTTATAAATGACGAAATCCTTCCAGGGACTATAAGAAAAAGTATCAAAACAACCTTAAGCACCATGATACCATGTCCCACACACCACCAACTCAACAGTTCGCAACATTCGCTCCGATCTTGTAACAGTTAGGAGCAACTGAGAGCAAAAAGAATCCGTAGCAAAAAAAAAAAACTTTGATCACATCACCCAACAGGTGATGTAAGCTAAGTAAACCAGTCTGATTAGCACAACAAAACCCCCGCAAATGATGCTCCACAGGCATTACATCTCTGAAGTGCTCATGACCTAATTAGCAGAAGGGATTGATACACGCACCAGAAAAAAAACGATCACAACCTGTGTTGATTCAGTCGGTATTTACGGCAAATAAGCGATGCGAGCGATGTCCTCAAAATACAGAGTAGGTGACGGGGCACGTGCGATCACCGCACCAATGCAACACAATTGAGGAACCACCGCAAACAACAAAACAATACAATGGACGGCAAGCGCCGAGCGCAGCATAACATTCAATGTACTGAATGAAACTCCATAGTCGATGATAAGTTTACATATTCATCCTCCAAATGCAATTTTGGATGATTTGGTATCTTGTAGCTGTTGGAGCTGTTAGGAGTCCTTGCAGCAGGCAACTCAAGCTGCGCCTGCAGTTAGCAGAGCTGGATTGAAGACTTAATTTGGAGTATGAGTGATCTCCAGCGTAACGAATTGCTCTAGAAGAAAAATCTGAAGGTAATTAGTTGATGAAGGAGGATTCGGGAGGCATTCAAGTGAAGATTTAGGCCTTGAAGAGTCCCGCTTGGAGAAAGTTGACAGACCTTGAGGTAAGAGCAGGAGATGGAGATTGAATCGGCGCAGGCGATTCTGATGGACGAAATTCTGGAGATTCCGGGCGGGGAGAGTAGATCAGGAACTAGTGCTTGGTGTGTTCAGATTAGGGTTTCGTGCATAGACGATGATGACGACGACCCTACTGACATTCCCGCACAGTTGACCGTCCACTTCACGCACATTCCTATGCATCGCGCTGTGAGCGAATCTGAATGCCGGCTGCTGCGGGGGAAGCTCGAGGAGGAGGCACAAGAAATTTGAGCATGGCGATGATGTGTACTTCGGGCAAGGAGTGGCTGCGGGAGAAGTATGGTCAGGCGAATGTTGATGAGGAGTCGGAGGAGGTTACTGAGAAGCACGGAGAGGTCGCGACGATCGAAAGTTTTGTGACATGGAGGAACAGGGATTAAGCAGAGACTACGCCTGAGAAGGCCAAATTGATGCCAGACTTTGTGTTGATGGCTTCCAAAGAGAAGAAGACCAGTGGCCGGCATCGGCTTGGGCTGAATGCTGTAGGCAAGGTGATCGAAGATGAGAGGGACATTGCCGTAATCGATGAAACCATTTATTTCTGCGACGATGATGACGAAGATTTGTTTACCGACTCGGACTGCCACCAGCTTCCATGGACGATCGGTTAATATTCCAGATTGATAGACCTACTACACTCAGGGCAGTCTGTAAGTCTACTACACGTCCTCTTACATTTCAATCCTGCACATTCTGAATAGCATTCACGTGTATCCATACTATTTTGGAGTCCGATCGTTTTCGTGATAAATGCAAGTGCGCTTCTCCTCACCATCTTGCTTTGAAGATCTTGCACCTGCTCTAGAATCTGTATAAACTGTACGGTGAAAGTGCTTTTATGTTTAGTTCCCTGCACTCTCAAGCTCTCATCTAAAACTGCCTGCAATTACATGAACAAAATAACTAACGGAGAATTTCAACCTTAGCGCTGCTGCTATGGTTATTCTGAGAATTCTGAGTGAAACTGATTGTGACTGCCAGTTGGATCTCTCGCTTCCTTTTTCTTGTTCCAACCGTAATTCTTATTCAGTTTCAAAGTAACGAAATATTATATTTTAGTTAAATTTTCACAAATAGTTTGATATTTTGAATAATCTAAAGATATTGATAAGTTAATTTAGAGATGTAAAATAAATTTATCAGAATTAAGATTATATCTGACAGTATCTTGTTTGATAATGAATTTGGTAAATAAATATTATTTAATTAATCATTTTAAATTGAAATTTTGTAACTAGCACTTCATTTGGTTTTAGTTTGTTTGTTTTGTTTTTTTTTGTTTTTGTTTTTGTTTTTTTTTTTTTTTTTTTACAAAATTTCCTTTTTTTTTAACAAATAACTATTTTGACATCAACAGTTAATCAACAATTAATAATACGACAAAAAATTCAATAACTTTGTGATGTGATAACTACTGAACTCATCATATGAGAAAAATAGGTGAATAAAATTTCAGGTTATGAATTGATACTATTGGTTGAGCTTTCACCTAAATATGTTGTATGATACCAATTTTCCTACAATGTTGAAATTGTAAATTAAATTTTATCATTTTTGCAAGTATTTATATTATTATTTAAAATATTTAATTCATACTTGTTTTATTCCAAAAAAAAAAATATATATATATATATATATATATATATATATATTAATTATTTCAATCAAACAACATTGCAAATATATTTTTGCATAGTTTAATATCCATTTAAATCATAAATTTCTAAATCATTCTAGTTTATTTGTGCTTTTGAGAACTTTAGGTTTCTTCTAATGATTAAAAATCCAAAAAACAAAAATATCCAAAACAAATAATATACCAATTGAGTTCATATCTAAATTCTTATCAACTCATTTGTTCAATATTCTCTTAAAGACCTGTTTTCAATAATAATTAAAGTAATATCACAAGTTCATTTGGAGTTTTTTTGTTCCAAATCTATTGTGTCAATTTGTAAAAGACAACTTGTTTTTATTGTTGATTACTAAAATTCTTTATTGAAGAATATGAAAAGAATTCTCATGAACTCTATTTACTTATTGAAGAAAAAATCTTATACACTTTATTGAGTAACTGTGCAAATCTTAAATACATGTAATTTCTATTGCTATACTATTTCAAAGGGCCAAGAGTCACTACCACTTACTCTCAAGCTTTGTAGTTTGTTCATCTATCAAATGTATAGTAATCTATTGACAATGTTCTTATTGTGATGTCATTATCATTGTAAGTAAAGGTATTGGGAGTGTTTATTTTAACACTCTCTCTTGCTTCACAATTCTTTTGTTTAATTTTTGTAAGTTGGTGGCAATGGATCAACTTTAATAAGAGCTTGATAAGAAGTATGTTGTAAGAGTCTTCTTTAAATATTTACTTATAAACTTATTGAATTTATTTGGTATTTTTTAGACTATTTTTTTTAATAGAAACTAATTTTTTTAGAATTTCAATTATTTACATTGGTGCTTTATTGATTTTATTCAAACTTTTTCTTAATGATTGTAGGCTTAACAAAATGTTTAATCAACTTTATATTAAGAAGTAGAGATGATCTTTTTAATCTTGTGCAATATTGAGCAAATATTTTTTCTTCTAATAGAATAGGATTAAATAAGTTCTATGCAATTTTAATAGATACTTATTTAAAGATTATAGAATGAGTGTTGATTGCAGGTGAAGGATTTCAAGGGCTCAAAGTTTAGATGCTTCAAGAGTTGAAAATTACCTAAACTTTATATAGAAGAAGATTGTAGGTAGAGATTTATTTGATGGTTGTTCAATAGAATGCATATTGTCTCTCATAGACAATAATAGATGAAGGTCTCTAAAGGTTTTATTATGATATTGGTTTGTTATTTGGATGTGGATACATAATTGATGATTATGATCCTTGCCATGTTTTTTTTCTTAAATGAAATGAAACTATATTTCTATAAACTTGATTTTAAAATGTCATATAATATTTTTCACGAGCTTGATGTAACTTTGATTATCAATGAGTATTAAAGAAGGATTGGTGCTACAAATTTATAATGCTTGTAGCATCCTTCATAAATATATTGCATTATTTTTGGCTTTTAAAAAACTTAATACTTAGTCTTTGTTGTACTCAAAGCTATAGTAGATTGTCTTTTGTTAAATCACTCTACTAGTATATTATTATTGATATTATATATAAGACTAGAAATAGGATGTCTTATATCTAAGTCCCTATTATAATGAATATTGGTACAAATAACTATTGTGAGTTGGTTCTTATGTGGAAAAAATATTCTATTGTTATTTATTCTTTGAAAATATTTGAAAAATCTTTTTGAAGCTGCCAAATGTTCATTTTATGGTTGCTGATTGTACTTACATAATGTGCTTATTGTAATACTTATACCAAGCCTCAAAATTATTGCTACAAATAACAAATCTCCTACAAGTGATTGATATATGTATCTATCAATTAAATGTTTTCATATTTGCTTGAAGACGAGTGTTAGAGCTTATAGGAGTTTGAGCTAGATTGCAATGAACTATGTCAAATCTACATGAGAGTTTTTTCACATAAGTTTCTTAATACAGCTAAATGTCAAAATAATCTCTTTGAATTTTTACTCTTAGATAAATAATAGCTTCTTCTAATTTTTTCATTTTAAAAGTATTTATTTATTATGATATAAGTTGCTAAATTTCCATTGAATTATCTCTTATAATGATAAGATCATTTATGTAAAAGAATAAAATTGTATATTGATTGTTGTTAATTGAATAATACATGTTATAGCTAACTGAATTTTTAGTAAGTCTTTTGTTTATAAAATAAACGTTTATTCATTATTGTCATGCTCTTCATATTTTCTTAAGTCTATACAAAGTCCAAATCAATTTATACATCTTTTCTTCTTGTGACAAAGTTTATATTCTTAATGGTATATACATATAAACTTCTTAATCTAATATACTGTTAAAGAAAACTATCTTTACATCTAATTGTTGTAAGCTATAAGTGCTATTAAAATAAATAAATAAAAGTGAAAGTAGAATAAGTTACATTATAGAAGATATTATCTTAGGTAAGTTGCTATTGATTAAAGGATTGATTCTTGATATCTAAGAAAGCTAAGAGATAAAGTAGATCAATAGACAAAAGATCTTATGGATATAGAATATATGCTAAAGGCATATTTTTATAGTAGATAAGATAGCTATGGATAGTCTCAATAGAATATTAGATAGATGTATTGATTAAATGATGGAAGTTGTCAATTAGGACAGTAGCCACTATCTATAAGTAATAGATATTAGAGGTAAGAGATATCTTACTTTATGCTTTCTTTGTAAACAACCTTATAGATACTATGTATTAGTGCCTTCAAATTTCTTTTTCATTTAATAGGTTATGCGATCATTGACTTTTAATTGAGATTTTTGAAGTTTATTGAA